AGCAGATGTTAAAGGGAAGCTTGCTGGGAAATGACTTGATCCTTTACGGGAACATAGTTTGACTGTCCAGACTCTCCTTGATTCCTGACTCATGAACACTTCAGCTGTTCATGAGTCACCTCATTGCACCAAGAGTGCCATAACAGCAATTTTATGTCAATAGAAAAGTATATATAATTATTATGAAACTATTTTTTTCATCAGGAACAGTGTGTCACTGTCATGTTGAACTTGTTGGAGCTGTTAGTCTTGTATTGTATGTTTTGCAGTGTCTGAAACTCAATATGTTGTCATTAAGTCATAAACTCCTCCAGCCTTAGTGTGCTCTACAATTTAAGTAAACACTGTTTGGATCCTGACTGCCCATTGGCCCTAAAAAGGTGAGGTGAGTGAATATGCACAAATCGGTCGGTTGTTGCCACTGGCTTTGATGACTTGTGATTGGTTTTGATTGAGAGGGTGGGGTCAGAAAAGAGTGTTTCTGTGTCTGTGTGATCACCAGACACAACAATCATTCAGAGGTGCAATAGGTGCAACAGCTACTGTCTGTTGAGTGCATCTAGGTCACTATATATCATTTTCCATAATGACAGATGTATGTTTTTATTAAATCACCTTGATCCTGTCTGTAATCTATGATCATGAGAGCAAATCTCATGCAGCCAGGTTCCAAGTATGAGGGTGTCCACATACTTAGACTATATATTGTATTTTCAAAGTAAGCGACACCTCAATAGTCCTGTTCTCATAGTTAAGCTGCTTTACACACTTTTGAATCTCTAAACAAAATCCAGATGACATTATGTATTGGAAACAATGTATGTAAGTACATTTACTCAAGTACTGTACTTCAGTACAAATCTGAGCTTTTTTACTTCATACCTTTCTTTTCATGCCACACTACACTTCTACTCAACTACATTTTGGAGGCAAATATTGTACTTTTTACTTCACTAGGATTATTTGACAGGTTGTACCTTTACTTAAAAATATCTGAATACTTCCTCCACCACTGATTAGAAACAAAATATATTTTCCATGGTTTTACATTTCAGTTGGTACTTTGCTCAAGGACACTTTGGTAGGACACATATTAATGAAGGGCATGTTTCCAGACCTAAGAGCAAGAAACTTGTTCCCAAATGTTTCTATGACACACTTGATACACACATGCACACACTCATGTTCAATGACAGTTTTGTTGTTTACAGTTTGTGCCATGCAACCACCTTGTAATTCACTGCTCTTCAGAAATGTAATTAGTAATTGGGGATACACTGCCACTGCACTAGTTACAAGTTGTCCAAAACATTTTGTAAAGGAAACACCATTTGGCTCTATTTGGCTCATGTGATTATGTTAACTTAATTTAGCATTGAACAAAGACTTCAGAGGAAATGAACACTGGTGGTCAAAGGCAGTTTTTGTCAAGTTGAGAGTTGCCTGCGTATTTGTTAGGGAAAGAAACAAACAGGATGTAGGCCTACGTATTTCTTGGAACATGTTGCTGTCCGAATTATCCTTCAGATTTCCCCAGATGTTGTTGTTGCAGAAGCAAGCAAAGAGTTAAAGCAATCACATGTTTAGATTTTAAAAACATTTGCACCCACATCATAATATTTTTCTTTACTATTATTGTTTATATCTTTCTATTTGTCCATTAGTTTATATTTTGAACAATTTATTTTTAAACTCTGAATGTGGAAACTGCTTTCTAAGGTTATTTCTTAAGTGTTGTTGTCTGTATTGTACTTATACAAGAGTTATGGATTTATATGTTTATTTCAAAGTGAAAATTCTCAGTTTTTCTCTTGAGTGGCACTTGGAAATGTTAGCTTAAAACACAATCCTTTACTTAATCAGGTCAAGAAAACCGAAGTGCTAAAAGAGCTGTGAGCATGTCCATCTTAAATCTAGGCCAAACAACTCCAAGAGGCAAGACTGTAGGTGTGCAGGTTACAATGTGTGAATCTACAGGGGGGGGGTTAAACTTCTGAAAAACACGACAAGCAGTGGGGAGGCACATGTTCAGATTTGAGGTAAAAGTACTGTAAAATGTACTGTATTGTAAAAACTCCAGTGGAAGTATTGAAAATGTTATTTAAACCTAATACATGGAGTTTTTAACTGGTAATGAAACAGTCTAAATTTCATAGTGATGCCTCTATATGACCTATAAACAGACAAGACCATCAGTGAAAAGATTGGCAACTTCTATATTCTTAATGCTTGCCAGCAGCTTGGATTCACATGGAAATCAATGAAACTAGGCGGCACAAAAACTATCGCTTTTGTCCAAAGGGGCCACCAGAGTCAACACAAAATAAAAGTTTGACTGTGACTGTTTTATGTTATATCATTAGATTTTTGTAAAGGCAGGGTTTTACTGTTGTACTTGGTTGAGATGGAGCTAGTGACACCGAAGTGACACCTTCACACTGCATGTTTAATAAAAATCAAATCCTCACATTTGACTAACTGGAACCATGAAACGATGACTGATCAACTAATCAATTCAGCTCTGATTGTCCATACTGTTGCGTAGTTTTATCTATGACAAAGCATCAGGTTTTACAAGCTCTTCATGTGTTTTGTATGGAAAATCTACTTAAAATAAGTAAACAAACAATTGTAATGGAGTATATATTTCCTTTCGAAATGTAGGGGAGTAAAATAAAGTTCACTGCTAATGTAAGTAACTCAGAAGTCCATGTAGTAGTGTAGTATATATGTGAAGCTTCTGACTGACCTGTTGACAGACTGGATCCTCAAGTTCAGAAATAATAATTGCATGATTTTATTTAATTAAACGTAATGATCCTCATATGAAACTCGTGTCATTGGAACCAAATAACAGGATACAGAAATACAGTACATTTGAACCATAATTTCACACACCAAACCAGACGGGCAGGTTTGACCACAGCAGAAACCAAAGTTACAAAACATTTAAAAGGTTTAATGACTCATTCTGGCTAACTCAGAACATCAATTAAAAGCATCATGTAAACAAGGATTACAAGATGTTGCATGATGGCAGGCAAAGTGATGGAACATCTTTGTTATTTCTGTCATCACGTCTGTTCCCTTCATAAAAGAAACACACAGGGTCACTGTAAGGTCACTGCAGAGAACACTAGGAACACCTCAGTGTGTCAGATGCCTGGATGTTCACTACAGTCAGATACAAAAGGATGCTTTTCGGTTAAATAAATATATTTAACCTTATTGAGTCTTATTAAGTAAGTGGAAGGAGTCAGATCCCCTCACTTTCATACTTAAAAGTTGCTTATGCATCATACAGTCTGCATCTATTCTATATCCAGCCAATGAATACCATCCTTGCTGCAGTGGCCATAGGTTTGGGTCTGACCTGTGGCCCTTTGCTGCTTGTCATCCTCTCTCTGTCTTCCCCTTTCCTGTCTCTCCTATCAAATAAAGGCAAAAAGGTCCAATATATCTAAAAAACGAGAGTCAACTTTAATTCTGCTTTATTATTTTTATTTAAGGTCTATAGCCATGTCTGTCTGGTGTTGGTATTGACAGTCTGAAATGTCTACACGATAAGAGGGAAATTGAAAGCTGTGGCTTTAATGAGCTAGGATCTGTATCTCAAGAAGACCTTGTTTCAAGTCTCACTCGCTGCTGAGGCGTCTGTCCTTGAGGAAAAGCACCCAGATCTCATTCCTGGATCAGATGTAAGTGAGTGTTTGTGTCTACCAGCTGAAAGCTGAGAGCAAAGTAAGTTCCCTCTCTGTGTCTGAGCCAGAGGCCTTTTTTAAAATTTTTTTATCCAGTGATAAAATCTGTTGTTAATGTTTTATTAACAATGAAAAATGTGAACATGCCACTTCCTTTTCACCCTATGACATTAATAATCTGTCTTCCACACTAGTGTAACTCCTCAAAATCTTAATCAAGTACTGAAAGACTCCTGTCAGGTGTCAGTGCTCAATATGCTTGTATGCACTGGTTAGTTGAACAGAATGAGCACTTTCTACACACACAAATAATGTATATCAACACCTCTGTATTTGCTGCTCTGACTGAAGCAAGAGGAAACTCTGCGATTAATTAGGTATAATTCTATTGTTTGTTTTGATGAAGATCAAGGCTTGATAGTACTTTGGTCTGACAAAATCAACAGGAAGATAAGAAATGGCTATGTTGTTATATACAGTATATATATGGGTTTGGGCTTTTTGCCTTTATTTTGAAAGTGAAGCTCAAGATATACAGGAGAGGGGATGACACACAGGGCTGCAGGTTGGATTCAAACCCATGGCCACTGTAGCAAGGACTCTGCTTTGGTACATGGGCAGCCAGCTCTACCAGGTGAGCTTAGAGTTGTTCTTTTAAAGTATTTTACGAATATAAAAGCTTCTCAGTGAAACATCATCCTTCCTCAGAACCGCGCTGAACGTCTCTCTGTCTGTCTACTTTAAAATAATTCAGTAAATATACCCAAGTGAATTTCTTCAGCCTGGCCTTCAGCCATGTTGATAGCTTTGGGTAACACTGTGTATAATTCACTGAGTTTGTTTGTTCCTATGTGTTTACGTATGGCAGAAAAGAACTGGGATCCTTGTTGAATATTCATGTAATCAAAGTACAAACTGTACAAGAGGACACCAGATGAGATCCATATATCAGCTGAACTCACTGTGACAGATAACTCAGTGGTGAGGACCAGCAATAACTGTTGACTCCTCTGGAGCAGCAAAAGCACCCAGAAAAACTGGATTGCCTAAGTGCACAATATTAGAGCTGTCACAGGCAAATCTTAAGTCTGTAATTACTGTGTTGATCCCCTGAGTGTAGCTAGTTTCTCCACTGAACCCTGCCCTTGGCAATGATATAGTTTTGACTCACACTGCTGAACATGATGTACCATTCCACTGGCATGCAACATATTAAACAAAGGCCCTCTACTATTTCCCCCAACAAAGTGTACAGCTTACATTTCAGTCAAGGTTTCAAGGAAACACTGAAGACGATAATAATTTCAAATTTTTGGTTTATTAGAAAAACAATTACAAAACTTTGGCAATATTGTGAACAAACAATTGCATTTGTATAAAAATACATTCGTTATATTTTCAGTGCGTGCCACCAAAGTTGCACAGCTGACCCTGAAGACTTCTGTCATACTCCTAACAGTTTTTTTTGGAAGTTGAGGAGAAACTAATCCTCGAGTCAGTTTATTTGGAATGTTCTTTGTCCATATATTTCAGTGGCATCTCCGGCTTGAGGCTCGACTTAAACGCTGAGCAGTGTGTTCGGGGTTTGAGCTTCACAAAGCGCCCCACAGCACCGGGGCATCTGGCTCCCATCAAAAGCTTCAGGCCACATGGCTCAGAGGTCTCCGTCACCTCCTCCTCCTTTTGTTTAGCAGCTGGGAGAGCTAATCTATGTGCAGCTTTATACACAAACTGCTCATCCTGTTTAATCACTGTGCTAAAATCAGCAACCACAGCTATCCAACACTTCAGTGCCTTAAGCCTTGCATTAACACAACACTTCTCTTGGAATTCATCCACATACAATTCAACCGTTATTGTTCTAAAAGTCCTCTCAGAATACATTCTCCTCTATTCATCTCTATGAGAGAACGACTCCCTGACACTCTCATGCAATCTTCAACAGCAGATTATTAAGGCATACGTATTTTTCCCTTTTACATATTGTGACCTACATGCATAAAATACATCTACATTTGCTTACTTGACTTGTCTGTTCCGCTGTCACACCTTCAAATACAGTATGTGCTTAAGTAACAGTAGAAATCATCACAGACAAACAATGCATAGCAATGTAGGTTGTTAAAATCTACTGTGTTGTCAGTACAAGGGGAGTTGGAAACTGAGGACAATAATTGCACTTTTCTCTTTACGCCACTCAAAGGGGACAATATGCTTCTAAACATATGTCAACTTCTCAAGAGCGCTTCTTTTTTTTTTTCAAACATTTGAACACCAGGTGCAACTCCAACTCCTCCACCTGACAAATATCAAGTGATCTTTTACCCCAAATGTGTCCCAAACTCCTTAAATCTCAAAATTCAGTTGAGGGAATCCTTAATTGGGAGGCATTTGTAGCTCGCTTTACCAGGAGCCAAAGATCACTTGGGGAGGACAGGAACTGATGTGGAGAAGTTACTTTCCTCGCAACAGAACAGGAAAGCGTCCACTTTACTTTATGGAGTGGCCTCCACTGACATCCAGTTCCTGTGAGCTCCGTCTCCTGGCCTCTGCGTGGCGCTCCAGTCCCCCTCCACGACACTTGGTGGGACCAGGCACCATTTTTCAGAGAGAAGTAATCCAGGAGAAGACAAATCTCTTGATTTGTTTCATTAACTTAAGTTGCTTGACGCTCAGGCAGGGCTCATGGTTCAACACGTCATGCAGCGAGGTCTCATGTTGAGGGGCTGAGGGTTGGGGTCAATCTGTAGGCAGGAAATGGAAATAAAAGACACATAAGATGAAGGTTAAGTAAGCAGATAATTCAGTCTTATTCCAAACAAAATATTCAGTGCTATGGTACATTAAGCCTACACCCACTGATTATTTTCATGTGGTTACTGTTTAGTACAACTCAGCTGTGTTCTTAAGAGCTTCCAGTAGGGATGTTTTAAAATTAATCTACTCAAAAAAATATTTATATATGCCAATCAAACTAAATAAACAGTGGGAGTCCTTTACATCATTTGGTGACTCACCTCGCTGTACACAGGCGGAGGTCGGAAGCGAAACTCTTGGACAAAAGCCATGAGGGGGCGCTCCAGGATCCCACTCAGGTCTTCGGCAGGTTGTGGGACCGCCGCGTTGTTGCGCTGCTCAGCCTCCTCCTCTGTCACCACGGAGCTGTATTCTGGAGGAGCTGCAGGGAAAGAGGCAGAATTAATCCACTGGTCTGACTCAACAGTACAGGTCCAAACACTAAGCTGCTGAGTCATCACTGCAGTTAAAACTCTTAAAACCCCCACATAACATTTACTGCCTTTTTTTGCGCTAACAAACACTGATTTGATCCAACATGAATCTCCACTGAATCGAAGCTTTGTTTGTTTATACATGTTGGCATCTGACCTAGTTACACTTTGGCAGTAATCATAAAAATAAAAAAGGGAATAGGTCCACAAACTGATGAGGTTAAAGCAAGAAGGACTAATTTATTATTGTAGCAGACAATATCTATTGACAAAAAGTGAGTCTCTCTTTTTCCCCTACATAAAAACTCTAACCTGAAAAACCTGGTGTATCAGTGTGACTCCTATTAATCAAGCTCATTGGCAAGATTGGGGTTTAAGACTGATTGGCTCAGAATTATAAATGTTAAACTAAGCAAGAGGATAAGGACATCTAGATCTACATATCTCAATCACTGCAGCATTAAAGGACACTTACGCTCAGGCTGCTCGGGGATGGCCATGCGCAGCCACTCCAGGTTGACGCTGTACTGGCTGCTGACGCTGGAGGTTCGGCTGCCGAAGGGATGGAGGGGGATGGTGCCGATGACCAGCGGCAGCTCTAGGCACAGCTTGGACGTCCCAGGAACATCAACACAAACCTGGTGGGAGCGAAAGAGGAGAACTTTTAGTGAAATCTGTGTAAAGTCCATATTTAAAAACAGCAACAGCATGGATGGAAAGAAATTCCTAAGAAATAAAGCAGCTGTTGGCTGAACTCACCTTGAGCATGTACTCCACTTTGATGATGCGGCACTGCAGGATGGAGGGACCCACAGGTGGGATCTTGATGGCTCGACCGTGCCACGTCTCCCTGCATCTGGCGCCCACAATATCACCGCACAGTGTGCCCACCACCGAGCGCTTCTGCTTCATGGTGCCGCGGGCGATGAATGTCTGTGTCTGAGTGATATAGGCTTTGGGCACCACTGATCTGGAGGTAGAGTTGTCGAACTCCGCAAAGACAGGTATCACCTCACCTGCAGAGAGGGACAGTATGTTAACAACTGCTGACACTTCTAAACTGGGCTACAAAGAGAAGGTGTTTTCAGAAGGAGTTGTTTTAGGTGCTGGACTCTCACCTGGTGTGTAGCCTTTGCGGTCAATCTTTGCTGTTACAGACACCTGTCCGAAGTTGCGGTACCACGCCCGTGCCATCTTGTCCCTCGTTCCGGCCTGTGGTGCCTGGGAATAATAAAACCGAATGAGCCAAATGCCTCAAAACACCAAGAAAATCATGAAGTATGTAATGATACAATCATGAAATGTTAAGGGTGCTCACCAGTAGGGCTGGTGTGTTGATGTCAATGGGCTCGATGACTGTAAACTCCTTCTTGATCTTCTTGACGGTGGCCCACGGCCTGTGGAGCTTCACTTTGACCCAGTAGCGGATGCTGCCGTGTTTGCCCTCGAAGGAGGTGACCAGAGTCTCCTCAGGTAGCTGGAAGCTGAATGGAAATTCATGTCTGCCAGCAGGAAGGTGGGTCACTTCACCATTATCTGAAAAAAACAAAACAAAAGGAAATTCAAGTTCCAGTTCATTCACTTGTTGTTTCAGTTGTGTTTGGTTCATTTGATTTCAAGAGTACAGGAATGAGTGTAACTTCAATGACTTTCCTCCAGCTGTGATTATCATAAAGAAGAGCATAAAGTAATATAACTAGGATGTAAAACAATCAATTCAGCACAGAGATGTACAGTAAAAATTTTTACTGTGATCAATTATCTGATTGAGTGTAAGGTGATTTGCGCAACACAACAATGAATGGCAGCAATTTGCTTCTTCTGAAGAAAAGTCCTGATAAAACCTGCACAATTAGTTCGAAGTTCAAAAACAAGGCTCTTTAGAAATCCACATCAACAACTGAGAAAGAGTAAGAACGTATCTTTTAAGCACAAACTGAAAGAGAAATCCCTGTCTCTCTCTGCAATCACATGGCTTCTGTGCTTGCTCAGAGGGGCGGTTCCTGCTCCATTGTGCTGACTGAGAACATGTTTTCCTCAAGCTGTATTATACAGGCTGTCTCAACTGCTGTGTTTTTCTCTCCCTCTTGCTGCACAGGTCGAGGAACACGTGTTTGCGTTTAACAGACTCGATGTGTTTTGTGTCCCTTTGTTAGCTGCAAGCTCCAACTTGATTTAAATAACAATACTGTCACTGTCAAATCCTCTTAATGGGTCAAGTGGGTCATTGTGAGCTTTCTGTTGTGTATGCAAAAAAACACCACCGAACTTCTTTAACATTATATGATATTTTTCTTATCAAATACCGAGTCGAGCAGTGAGACTGAACACTGCAGGAAAACAACATAACATTTCTGAAGCCCTGGCTGTGAATTTCCTGTCTACTCTTTAAAGCAAAACAGCTCGGTGTCCAATGAATGGACAGTGAAACTCGAGGCTCTCCCACATCGCTGTGGAGAAAAACAACCCACGAATCTCTTCGAATGAGGAAAAGTCTGATGTCAAGGCTATTTCTTTCAACAGATGTTTTCACAATGAAAAAGGAGTGCAAAGACAGCTGTTGCAGCATGTTTTTCTCTCTTCCTATACAGTTTTTTTTTTTAATATACTTCTAGATCGAGTTATGAACAACAACAAAACTTCTGGAATGGAAGAAAAAGTAATAAACAAAATTCCAAAATCCCCTAAAAGTACTTTTGTCACTGAATGACTGGATATCATAGTGTTTACTTCTTCAAGGAAGTGCCCAACAACAAGTCAATAACTCTCCAAAGACTCCCCATAAAATAATTTAAAACTGAAGTTTGACTTTTGTTTCATTCAACAGAATATTAGATGATCCAGTCAACTTTGCATCTACAATATGAACAAGTTTCTAAATCAAAGGGCAGAGCCAACAAAACCTCTAAGTGTGAACTTAATAAAACTCACTAATACAACCAAGCTACAATCTGACTTTACTACACATTTAATGCAACCATAACATACATTTAACTCGCATACTTAAATCATGCAAACAACACTATCCCCAATTTGCAGACAAACAAGTAGCCCAGTGTCCCCCAGACAAATAAGCCACTTTCACTATTGTTTCTTATATTTGGCATTTGCTCCACTGAGCTGGTTTGGCTCTTTTGATCCCCTACTAGCTGACATTTTCACAAGTTTCCAGCTTTGTGCACCCTCTCAGAGTCTCTCACCCACAACCACCATCCCCGAGCCTGCAGAGCGGACTGACCTGCCTGCAGCAGCACCTCTCTGCGGTTCAGGTACTCCACTTCGTCGCTGTAGTTCTGGGTGTATGCGGTGCTGGAGCCGGCGGACCGAGACTCGGTCCAATGCACTTTAGCGAATCCCTCGGCGTGGAGCTTCAGGGAGTACACCCGACTCTCATCGGACAGGTCCAGCACCACCCGACCGGACACCACGTCCCCGCTGCTGAACACCGGAGGACAGTCCACCTCCGGAGAGTCGAAGACGATGTCAAACTTTTTCAACTTGTCGAAAATCATCTTTGTGGGTTTTTTATATGCGAGTCCTCTCAAATATGAGTGAGTCCTTTATTCTCGGTCCCGCAGTATCTGAAGTGAGCTGAAGTGGAGCTTCAGATGTCTTTTGTTCACTTGTTGTTTAAAGCTCAAACTGTTGGGCTCTTTCAGACTGCAGCCCTATTTGGAGGCTGAGAAAGTGGGCGGGACTCTGAATTTATTATGTAAGGCCTCGGGAGAGGGTTGAGGTGCTGCGTTCAAGAGCTCCTCCTTGGCACCGACTTATCAGTACTACAGCTGTAAGTAAGACATGTGGCTGCATTTGACTACTTTATTTGGCCAAAGCTAATAACAGATCTTATCAGGAAGGTTTCAGATGGAAACAAATTTAAGATATTTGAGTTCCTGTTTACAACAAACACTAGAGTTTGAGCCCACTGCTGTTACAAAATTAGTTTTTGGGTGGTTCAGTAGAAGATTCTCATCAAGAAAACAATAAGTTTCACTTTATTAACTGATCAAACTTCAATTATCACCTTTGTTCTGTATATGTAGGTTGAGGTTGGTGTAGGAGGAGACAACAGCTAAAAAAAACCCCACCAGAACAAGTCTGGACAATGTCTGAGAACAAAACCACCACATGATGCCAACATTACCAAAAGTGAAAGCCACTAGTTTCAACGTTTATGACGACCACCCACCTGAGAGTCACACCTTGACAACTAGGGCCGTCATGTCATTCCTCAGTCCAATTTACAAGTTAGGTTACTTATGTGCAGCTCTTTCAAACACCTATATTTCCTGATCTACTCTGAAGGCAGCACAATAAACATGCAGACTGGGTGTGGAGGCAGCAGTGAGGAAAACAGGCCTTGGTGATGATTGATGGTTACAGGTTCTTAGAAGAAAACAGGCTTACTGAGCATGCCTCCGTCTGGCAGAGATCCGCCCTGCACAGCTCAGAGGAAAATAGTTTCACTCTGGACCAAAGCTGTTTACTCCACTTCTTCCATGTCGCTTTGAACATACTGTACTGTTGCACTGCCTGGACGCTGCACACATGGAAAACACACAGCTAGGCACAAATGCCTGCAACTTATGCCACCAAATGCTCATATGAAAAACAACTGCAGTCATTCTTTCTTTGATAATAAAGGCATAGCACACAGGGAAACTACACGTCTCCAAATAAAACTTTTGGACCAACTAAATCACTTGCATGAATCATTGCACCCATTCAGCCTTTTATGAACACATCAAATTCACTTCCAACATTTGCAAACAAAGCCAATTCTGAGCAGAACTGATTTCTCTTCCAAACTCTGCAGCGATCAATACACTAAACAAACACTCCTTCACTTCTAAGCTGTGTTACTCTTTTCATTCAATACAAAAAATCAAGTCTGGTCTGAAAAACAAAGTTGTTTACTCCTTTGTTCCCTGGGATGACTTGTTAGCTCTCCAGTGCCACCGACTGGCAATGTGGAAGACTACCAGGATGTTTTTACACAGCCTGAACTGGACTGGAGATGTCTGTGGATCTGTGAAAAAGTTCCAAGACTCTAGTTAAATGGTGCCCAAAGATTAATAAAAGTACAATTGGGCCTTTGGGGAGGTTTTGCAATTGAGTCTCGACTCCTTGCAGGTTAGGTAGAAAGTACAAGGTTCACCTTTTTTCCTTTGGTATAATCAGCTAACTTGTCAAACAAAAATCCCAACTAGCAGCAAAACACTGTCATATTTGGGAAGTCAGTGGTCCAGTTTGCATCAATTAGTAAGTTGTTTGCTTAAATTGCATTCAGGAGGCTGAGGCCTGGGAGGAAATAAATCCCAGCACGCCACCTGCTGGTGACCAGCAGGAGCAGCAGCAGCAGCAGCAGCCTGGCTCCGGGTCTCACTGCCTCGGCCGTGATAAGAGGAACATGAGGTTCTCTGCACAGAACGATGGGCTTGATAAACACTCCCACTGCACAGATGACTCAGTATGATCACTTTAATCATGGCTCCAGGCACGTTTACCACTGCCGCAGACTAAAGTAAACATATTTATCCTTGTGAGTTTGTCTTGTTTACCCACAGAGCTGCTGAGTGCACAGTATTGTAGAACAAATATTAACACTGAAGCCCTGCATACTTCAGAGCAAAGAGGGGCTTGAGACAGCGTATTTCTTCAAGTGTTGTTTGCAAGAGGAAAAAAAAAAGCTCCTAAAACTGGAGCTTCCTCTCCACTGAAACTCTCAGACACATTTATGCCTTTAAAGGGAAGAAACAACCCCTCACAAAAAAAATGCTGTTCATGGAAGATAAATAAGCCGAAGACAACACCATATTGTAAAATGAATGGAGCGCAGCAGCAGCAGCAGCAGCAGCAGCAGCAGCAGCAGCAGCAGGTTGTGTGCTGGAGCAGGGCGGGCCGAGGGGAGCCACGTGTTGTTTTCCTGGTTGCCACGGTGACGAGGGCTGCATTTTTTAAACAGACCCCACCTCTTCCTTCCTCCCTTCCTTCCTTACTTTCTCCTCTGCCTGTCACTTTCTTCCTCATTTCTTGGCCCAAGTTTACTTTGTACATGCAAACGTACCAGCTTGAATAAAAGCTCATTAGGTTCCCGAGAGGATTTGAGGAAGTGTGTAAACGTTGAAGCTTTGCAAAAGCAATTAGTGCTGTTGTTTCCTGGACAGATTCTGCAGATTACATTGGTCCACAAAGAATGTCGGCCTGAGACATTTACAGGTCAAACCACCCATGTGCCGACAGCATCTTGGCCTCTCTACTGGTGCAAGTAAATTTCCAGAATCCAGAAATCAAAATTGCAGTTTCTTTTATTTTTTTCAGTTGTATGGTTTTGGTGGATATTTCTGGGTGAGGGATGGAGAAGCAGAGGATACTGGTGATTTCTGACCTCCATTCATGTAAAAATCAGTAACAACAAGCATATGTCTATACAATATGGTTGGATTTTTTCCCACATGGTTTTATTTGACTTTATATTTGTTTTCCATTATTGCATTTTATCTCTATATTATTTATATTAATACGATCTTTAATATATCTTATCATCAGAGACATTTGTATTCATATTTGGTGGCCATCTGCATTAAGCAAACCAGTATCATTCTGCCTCCAAATTGATCAGAAAGGTTTTGAAAAGTTTAAAAATAGCATTATTGAGATATTATTAGTGGTGACATCGTCTAGTTAAGATAATTTAGTTTTACTTATACACCACATTTCACATAATTTTGTGATGATTTTATTAGGGATGGGCAGTAACGAATGTACTACTATAATATCGTCCTCCCCCTGTGCTTTATTTAAAAAAGGATGAGAGATGCAAGAGAACGCGAAGCATTTGAACTCACCTAGACTGGCCCAGATTCCCCTGTTTTGATTTTGAGTTACTTCCGGTGTGAGGCATTTTTCTCACCAGTGATCACATCAATACCAGATTTTAATTTGGCAGGAAAGGATGCAGCAACAGGGATGCTTAAACAACGACTTGATCAAGACAAAAAAAAAAAATAATATTATAATATTGATAAACAGTTAACTCCTGGTAAAAGTATAAATATCAAACATTTTGTTTTTTACAGATCATTTTTATTTTTCCTTACTTTCTTGGATCTCATATCATATTCATGTTTTTATTTATTTTTAGCAGCTGGTCTGAGTAAGTTTGATAAATATAAATTTAGGCTCTGATTACATGTTTATATTTTACACCAAATAATTAAAGCAAATGTTAGAGAATTCAACGGCTGTTTGTTTGGTTTCCGAAGTAACAGTAACCCAAATCCTGCTCTTACGTATCTGAGACTCTGCATTCATATTTACCTGATCGATGATTTACCAAATATGCTGTTGACAGAGCATCTAATGAAACATTAACCACTGTCGACAGTTTATTTACCCAGCTACTATGGCCTATACTCTCTGCCTCTCTGGTTTTAAGCAGCCTGCTGTCTTCCACACGGGGGAATTTTATACTGTAAGGCGTTATGTCCTGCACAACACAGCACTCAGTAAACCAGTTGTGTTTATTTGGACCCAACACTAATGGATTTGTGTTTAATGTTAGGATTATGTTATCTGGCATATGTATCTGGACGAGCCGGTGTCGACTTCTCTCCCAGGCTTTCATGCAACACATTTGGCCCAGGTGGCTTCATTTTGCAAACTGCAGCGACTACAAGACGCAGTGGCTACCAGCTGTCTCATAACAGAGCAAATCAGCAGTTTTACACCACATTATTCAGACTAGAGAGAGAACTTTTTCATCCATCCACCAGCTGCAGTACATGCTGAAATACAATTACTGCATATATCACAGCAAAAGCTAAAAACAATGGATGTTATCTCACAAGAATATTATATAGATACAGTAGGGAACAAATGGAAATACACAAAACTACAACAAAGTCAGCACAAATTATATAAATGTCCCCCTTTTTAAAGAAGGGAAGGCAGTGTTTCGGGATTTTGAAGTAGTCATAGTAAGTATTTTATTTCTAGTCACCTTTGGCCACACAGACAGTAACTTTTAGCATCACAGTTGAACTGACTGGTCCTGTTTGGCTCTCCCCCTGAACAGGCAGTGTGTTTTATTATGTTAAATTATAACTAAAAAGGTTAATGGTGAAAAATGAATGACATTTTTTACATGCAAAACATTACATGGAACTTTTATTAGCCAGAATCATTGCATATTTCAACCTCAAAATGGTACATTTAATAGGGGGAGAAAAGACTGTTAGAAGCAGCAGCTGCAGCTGTAATTCACCTGGCCTTAACGTGTGGCTATTCAACAGCCAGTCTGATAAATGAAGATGGTAAATATTTAAAAACACACACTGAATATTAACCATCCATGTGACTAACACCATCTGCAGCTTTTACCACTGACCTCGGATCAGATGCTGTCTCTTCCTGAAGTACGTGATCTTCGAGGTGTAGTCGTTATAGACGGAGTTCATGCCCCGGTTCTCCAGCCAGTGTGCTGTGGCCACCCCTCTTCCCTGCACCTTCATGGAGTGCACTCTGGTGTCCCTCCGGAGCTCCAGGACCACCTGGCCCGACACCACCTCCCCTCCCGTGAACGCTGCATCAGCCGGACCATCCAGCTCCAGCGTGAAAGACTTAATGGAGTTCAATGTCATCCCTAAGAGTGGAAGACAGTGGAACAGTAAATAAAAACATTTTGGAAAGGCTGAGGGCTAAATCAATACTTACGGTTTACAATAATGTTAGAAAATGTGTAGAACTGGTTTTCAGGTGCTGTAAAAAAGCACACCGCAAATAGCCAGAGCCAGCTGGAGGCATGAATGACTGAAACACCAAATAAAGCAATTATTATACATCCTGTATTTACTTTTTAAAATATTATTATGCAATGTTTTTGAACCTCTTTTAAATTAGTGTGTTACAATAAATGTTATTTTCTTCCAGAGATCTTATTTTTAGGGTGGGGTTTGGGTGGTTCTGATTAGGGGTCCCAGACATGCCAGAGCCAGCCCTGCCAGGAGTCACCATTGTCTGTTTTTTGTTTTTAAACACGTTTTACAAATGCTAAGTAACATATAGACTAACAAAATCTTACATTTGTCTTTTTCTGGTTAAATAAAGTGAAATAAAGTAAAGAATTATTATGTATACTATACTTCTTTTTTTGGTTAACTTAAATATGCATACAAACTCTTCACTTTAACCGACTCTCTTTTTATGATTTTACACAAATTCTGCATTATCATGAATATCAGAAATGCCAAATATTAATATATTACTATATAAGGTAAAAGAACAGCAACTTAAATTCTACTTTTAGTCAACAATATGTAAATAATATTGCAACAACAACTGACAAATGTTACAACAGTGCTCAGTGATTATTGTCTATGAGTCTTATATATATATATATATATATTTTAAATTTTTCCGTTATGCAGCCGGTGCGTGTTTACGTTTATAAACGGCTCTCAGCCAATCAGGACAGACAACCAGGAGTACGCTTTATAAATACAGCTTGAGGACGTTTTTTAAAAAAAAAAAAAAAAAAAGAGTCTCAAACTCACCTGCAGGACAGGAGCAACGTTGTGGTCTTTCTCAGAGGGCGAAGTTTGACGGCAGAGAAACCCAACTGTGTGTGTACTCCGACTGGATGTTCAATGGAAGCTCAGCCTTTATAAACGGCGGGCAGGTCTCAACGCCCAGAGACACAGCAGCTCTCTGTACACCAATGATGAAGAGCACATGCGAGTCACGCCCGCCCACTTTAACACGAAAGGAGGAGGAGGAGGAGGAGGAGGAGGAGGAGGAGGAAGACAGCGTGGTAACTGTAACGTCAAGTAATGCAGAATGACAATTTTCCGGTTGAACCTTTCACATTTAAACTGTGTGAACTGTATTTCATCATAACGTTTTTATAATATTTTATGTGTGGATATGTTTGACAGCAAGAAGTTGCACCATTGAGGAAAGAAGTCCGATATAAATACACATATAAAATACTTGAATTTGGCCTTTGACTTTTATTTTGAAGGTGTCAAAAACAGCCAATGCCTAAATCACTCTCCTTATTCTATTTTATAAATATACATAAAAAAAATAACAAGTACATAACATATATGTATGATATTATGTTAAAATAGTGGCCTATTTCACAAAAAATCATGTGAAAAAAACAAACAAAACACTGCTGCTACTACTGTTATTAAATTATACAGGTAAGTGGGAACATTTTTGATTTAAGTTTCTCTCACCCTCTGCTGTGACTGTGACAAAGTCTGCAGATCTGCACAGGGATGTAGTCACTCTTGGTGATGCTGACACTCAGCCCAAAAAGATTAAACACATTTAACATCTACATTCACGTCCCTTTAAACACATATTTTAAAGGCAGTGTGTATTTCTCTCAAAAAAAAGCCAATGCCTAAATCCCTCTCCTTGTTCTATTTTATAATATACATACAGAACTAACAAGTACATAACAT